CTTCTCCAAGTCAGGAAAACAATCAATCAAATGGGCTTTGTTCTAAACACAAATGCAACAGCCTTAATGCTTGATTAGGTTGTCTAAGAGGATTATATTTGTGCATTTCATATAACTTCTCGCCTGGCACCGACTACAGTTAATGTATATAATTGTTGTTTTGCAAGCATCGTGTTAAAAAAAAATGGGGGAAAAGTGCATCACCCACAGATAAGTATAGAATTTCTATTGTGGGGCATCCAGGCACTGCAGGCACTGTGGAATATAATCCAATTTTATCCCTTTCCTCGGGGATCAGTTATCTTTATTATTATGGCTTTATAAACAAACTACAGCATAAGTTTTCCCTAAGAGTTAAGCTTTCCTGTCAGATGGCTCTCTGCTTTTAATTCCCCCTATCACAAAATGCCATTTAAACCCTTTTGGTAAGGGAGAGCGAGTCAGCACTGTGTGATTCTCTCTGTTGGGCTCCCAAGCCCCCCTGCTCACCCACTTCTCCCAACATTATGCTTAAATGTCAGAAATTATGTGCTGTCAAATGCAAGTGCATCTGACAGTGTAAAACCTTCTTCAGAAGTTTCATTTTTCCTTTAAGAATATACTCCGATCGCATCCGCACTATACACTTAAACCACATTCAACACGCTTGTAAAGAACACGGCTTCACTAAAATTGTATGGGAATCAGAATTAGGTCACCCAATTGAACATCACAAATGGGAGGGTGGTCTGGACCACTGTCTCCTCCATTGAACCATCTCTTCTCCCTTACAGGAGGCCCTCCTCAAGGTCATCCTCTGCTGGCACAGGGCCCCAGTCAGGTTGGTAAAATTGAATCCCTCCCTGTCCCTTTTATGTTGGAAGGGTTGTGGGAAACTTGGTTCATTTATTCATGTTTGGCAGGAATGCCCCAATGTCAAAAACATTTGGAACAGAGTATTACTCATTATATCCACTATTAGAAGCCAACCCCTTTCTCCAAATCCTACCTTAGCCCAACTGTCTTTGGACATAGACTTGCACCACATAGAACTAGTAGGCTTCTTACTGACCACAGCATGATTAGCAATAGCTCAACAACAGAAGAACCAGACTGAAATACATATGAGGAAATAATATATAGGATGCAACAATGTATGAGTGTCTCACCAGACACAGGAGGGCAATTAAAGGAATAACGAATAGAGATACCTTCCAAGGAATGTGGACCCCTCTTTAACTGTGTTAACGACCCAGATTAAGACCTTGTTATACCAACAACTCAATATTCTCAGTGGAGATGTTACGTTAAGTAATATGTTTGAACACCGAATGTGTAAGTTTATGTCCAAAGTCAGTGGATAGAGCAAATACCACTAGATGTACTGCTGGGTAATTGTTTAATGGTTCTTGTATTTGTATTTGTTTAAAAACCAATAACATTTGTTTTTAAAAAAAGGGGGGGGGAAAGAATGTAGCTTCACCTAAGGAATCCTGGAAACAGCAGTTTGCCCTCCACAGAACTGCAATTCACAGTACCCTTAAACTGCAGTTCCCAAGGTTCTTTGGAGGAAGTCTTGTGCTTTACATGACTGGTGTGGACATGACTTGGTTCTGAGTGTTGCCAAATTCATCTTGCTTGTGGACCAGTTTGCATAAACAAGGAGCTCATCCCTGCTCCGTATAATGATCAACTTATGATAACACTGTCAAATGTGTGTACAAGTGATTCCAGCATTGCAGGGGTTTGGACTATAGATGGTATCCTAAGTTCCTTCCAACTTGGCAGTTGAATGATTAAGTCTTGCAATCCCTCCACCTTTTGTCACGAGCAAAGGCCCACTTCATGGAATCCTGGCCTATTAGATGCTTATGGCACTGGATCCAGAGGTGCAGAAGAGTGTCATTTTTAAATACCTGTGCACTCTTGCATTGGCAGTAAGCAACTCTGAGTCAAAGCAACAGGGGCATTGCAATACATCATAGTGCACACAGGCACATGTATCTATTAATCATCTGATCGAACGTGCCCTAAACATCTTTCTCAGCCTGATGTAATGTCAGGGATAACCTTTCAGTGGCGGGGGAGGGGGTGGCAATGGAGTTGTGTTTGCAGAGAGCTCTGTTGGTTGCTTAAGTGCCATGCAAGTGCCTCTCTCACACAGACTAATCATAGGATGAATACCTAGAGAATTGTATGTATCATTATACTGTTCACTTAGGTGAGCTGCAGGCAATGGTGTTTTGTCAGAAACAAACACAGTTTGAACAAAGGGGCCTGGTGGTGGTTTTATTCCATGTCTGATTCTGCTTGTTGTTGGGAATGTCTATGATCATTTTGTTTCCCAGAATGCATACTTTTCATGCAAAAGATGGAGTTTCAAACCAGAGCTATTTTTCTAGGAAAATAGGTGCAGGAACTCACAATGAACATCTTCCTTGTTCATGGTGCCCACCTGAGAGGTGCCAAAACTGAGTTACAGCAAGTTGAGGCGGGGGGGGGGGCATAGTTCAAACACTGGCAACTCATTAGGGCTAGGAGAGATCCCTGTCTGGAGCCCTAGAGAGTCACTGCCACTCAGTGTCCACAATACTAAGTTAAATAAGTCAATGGCCTGACTTTCCATAAGGCTCTTCCTATGATCCTAACTGAAACTTATGTTCTGTTCCACAAGCAATTACAGGAATGTTGAATCTGGGCACTCCACTGCAAAAGGCAGACCGCACAGATTCCTCCTGCATCCCTAGAAGTAAAATCCATTTTATTGCAACAGAAGTCTTATCTCCTGTAATGGGTCATAGGTCAGCCATAGACCATCTGCTTTACACGCAAAAGGTCCTAGGTTCAATACCCAGAACATCTAAGAAGGGCTGGGAATGTCCACTATCTGAAACTCTGGAGAGCTGCTGCTGCCAGTCAGTGTTGACAATACTGCAATAGTTGGACCAGCAATCTCAGTTGGTATAAGGCAGCTTCCTATGAGCTGTCTTAGGTTTGCCTGTTCCATCATCTGCTCTAAGGCTGGCTCAAGGCATCCTTGCTTGTATAAAACAAACACATACAGGCATATGCTTCATGTTTGTGTTTTACTGGAAGGCACAATAAAAGTAAATGATGAAATAGTATGCAGGCATAAGGCACACCAGGGACTGGGGTGAGAGAGTTCACCGAGACCATCATTGCCCCTCGAGTTTCAAAAAACCTGGTTCGGCTGCCAAGTCAAGTGCAGAAACAGCAAAGTCACACTCCTTGTTATGTCGATAAGGAATAGAGAGCATTACACCTGCCTGATATTCCCGCAAGCCATCGTTTGAGCAACAAAAGCAATTACACCAGCAGACTTGCAATGACTTTAATGCCTTGTCTGGCGAACACACACAAAATATAGCGAGGCCTGCAAGATAGTCCACTGGAGGGAAGAAGGAAAGCAGTAAGCTGGTGAAAACCAAAGCAATATTAGCTGAATTACTGTGAGGACTGCCCAGATGAATGTGCTTCTTATGGGCTCTCTGAAAACAGTGGTTTTATTTTATTTTTTTAAGTACAGAGAGAGGAAAACATCACTGGATATCTGTACCAAAGCAGAGGGATAGAAATATATCAAAAATGTTTGATGACCAAAATTCAGGTGCACCATATAAAGAGGTGTAAACAGTGCTGTAAGCTGAATCCAGACAGGTAACAGCAAGGAACTGGAAAAACTGAAGATAGAAGAACATTTCAAGAACAGAAATTTTACGATGGCAATATGCTGTAATGGAAAGAAAGGCAAAGCAAGTGCAAGCAATAAGAGAAACAAACAAGGGAGATTATTTTGCAGAGCATGGGTTCATTCTGTGGTTGGGGACTCATGAAACTAGGACCTCATCACCAACTTCACAAGAACTTTCCTGGAGAGCTTTGAAATGAAACAATGCATGGTTCTTCACATACTCCTTACATATTATGGAAATGAGAATAATGACAGAAAATGTAGTACTGCTGTTGGTATTGTATACCAAACCAATCAAACAAAATATGTCTTCTATGTATTGGGATTTATTTTCATGTTATACATTGTTATAATAGGGATGGGGAAAGAGTTGTCACCTCAAGGGAAACTTTCTCTCATGAGAATCCTGGGTGGGCACATATGCTGAGCGGTGTGTAGTCAAAAGTGGATAGAGCAATGGATGTGAGTCCTACCAGTCATGCAAAAATCAGGGATTTCCTCTATCTTCCGGCCAGCAAGAGACATTGCCACAGTTCATGGACACATTCCACCTAGGCAAAAGGACTCAAAGAAGGTGCCAAGCTGGGCCTCTGAGAGGTGTGGCCTGGAGATGGGAGATGCCCAGGAGAATCACAGGGTCCCATTGAGAGGCATGGAGGACCACATAAAATTTGTACAGAGTTCCCCACCTCTGTTTTAGGAGAGCCTTGGTGAATAAAAGGATGAGTGCAAAATTTGCCCAGAAAAGAATGTGCCAATTTTATCAAAGCACTTTCAGCTTCCTGCAATCCCCCCCCCCCAACCCACATTTAGGCGCAATCCTCTGAATTTGCTTCCATGGGGGGTGGGGGTGGCAGCAAGTCTGTAGTTGCTCAGTACTTGCTGTTGTCTACTACTGCAATGCCTTGAGTTGTTGCCAAAAGGTGGCTCATGAGAGCTGTTAAAGAAGATCCATTCCTTTTATGAGCAAGTCACCAATGAGGAACTGGAGAGCAGTAAAGGCGCTGGAGTCCAATACAATCACACTGGAAATCATTGTTATTATTTATTAAATTTATATACTACCCTTCATGCGAAGGTCTTAGGGTGGTTCACAAGATTAAAAAGTTGAGATGGGTCTAGTCCTAACTCAGTTGGTAAAACTGTGACTACCCTGTACCACTCCAGACTATGGGTTGGGCTTCCTGAGGAGAAAATGCATAGAGAACGGTTTTCCTTCTGCCCTTGTAACTCTAGAACCCTTGGACTTCCAATGAAGCTGAATGTTGGAAGATTCAGCATAGGCAAAAGAATGCCAGTTGCTAGGAATCACAAGTGGGGAGAACACTGTTGCACTTAGCACCTTCCTTTGGGATTGTTGAAGAAATCTGGATGACCTTGGAGAGAAGAGGATGCTGGACTAGATGGGTTATTGGCCTTATGCACTGGAATGCTCCACCATACAAATACCTACATAAACTAGATGTCAGGGATCAGTATTCTAGCCTTGCCTTCTTCCTGACACATGAGTTCTCTATGCTTGTTTTCTATTTTTCTATGGAGGAGCACTCCATTGTTTGAGTCTCCACCTCTGCTCTGAAGTTCAAGTACAGGTCCACCACTTCACTGGAAGATAGCCTACATGGAGCTGTACTTAAAGGAGGACAGAAAGAGAAGAGACTTGTCCTGTTACCCCTTTGCTATGAAGAGCCAACAAGACATGGACAAAAACGACCAATTACCACCATACATAGAGTCACAAAGTACAGGTACGACAAAATACTAAACTTGCCCAATCAGAGAGACGTGTATCATGTCAACTTCAATTCCCACCACTGCAAAAGAGATGCTGCTGTCAATGTATTTTTGCAGCAAAAATTAATGTATCCTGACAGCAGGTCACTCATCTAGAAAATCTCACCTTGCAGAATTCAAGAATCTCTTTGTCTTTCTTTATCTCTGTCCCCTCAGTTGCACCAAGTATTATCCTTCCATCTATCTACAGGCTGGTGTTAGTATAAATGGTCTCTCAGGTTTTTGCCCATCAAGTTCACAAAGTTAAGTACCTTTCCTTTCACTTTAGTTAATTTACAGATGAAACTTCCTAGGGGGGAGAGAGAGATAGAAAGCACACATTTATCCTTAGGACTTCACTGGGCAAGTTTGTCTAGGTAGGGCTCCTCTGTCAGGGATGGTCAGGTTTTATGGCTTCAGGGCCCTGACAGTGTCATTTTAAATGGGCAGCAACACAAAACAAATATCTTCCATCCATGCTTAAAGCACCAAGATCACCACAAACCATCCCTCTTTCAAGGTATGGGGAGCAAGAGCTGAAATTAAACCCATCACAGCTAGATTACCCGAAAATCTGGTTTCTTTTAGCTCAAGTACCTCTATTCTCTCTCCCCCAACCCCCGCCACCGAAGATTTCAGTTCTAAGCAAAGTTTCTCTAATGGCTCAAAATTAAGTTTCATCCCCAATTAATCTTCAGCCTTAAGCAGCTACTCCAAAGGTCACTGCTATTAACTCTAAAGTATGTGATCTTTCGCTAGAGTTCACTCAAAATGTGTGTGCATATGGATTGGGTGTGGAGAGATACTGGGCACTGGATTTTAGATGGAATGGACAGAGGCCTCTTGGTCTCCTGGACTGAGATCAGGCTAGATCAGGGCCCATCCCATACAGAAATGGATCCATGGTGATGAGAGTCAGAATACGGAACCATTAGAGTGGGACTAAATTTGGGCTAGCCCAACTCATTGTAAATTATTGAAGAATGTGGGCAGATGAGAGGAGGAAACATCTAGAAGGACTCTGTTCTTTGCAGGCATACCACAAAAGAGAATAAGGCCCTAGATATTTCTGAACATATTGGTAGTTTCTAGGGATGCTGCGAGCAACAAAGACCACATTGCCCATGGTTCAAAGTAACTTTGGGTGCTGCTGCAAGCAGAGAGGTCCTTGCTCACCGTACAAAGAGTGTTACAAGACTTAAGATCTCTAGGTCTTAGCTCAGAAATATCCAATAAAAAATTGCTTGTTGAAAAGAATTTAAGAAGCATTATACACATTGATGATGTCATTATTGGGATGCTAAGTTATGTGGGGAGCCTCTACAAGCAGAGGAGGTAACCTCTTCAGACTCTGCCCTCCACTTTGTGGAGAATGATGGAAATAGTGATGTGGTGGGAGCCTGGCTTAGCACACTCATACCCACACACCTTGCTCACAGCTAGCCTTTACACACAGCCAGCACATCTGAACAGCATTATTTTCTGGCCCCAGCCTGGAGTGTCATCTTGAGGCTCAACAGTGGGGCAGATTTTGATAGTTCGTTTCTCATCATCCTATTTCTTTATCTATACCAAATTTAGCTTGAGATTAAGAATGGGCAAATCCATCAATTTTCCTTTCTCTCAGTTTGGTTTCTCTCATATTCTGATTTGAGCTTCCAAAGCAATCTGCACCAGGACAATTTATCAGCATTTTAGGGCAATTTTTCTACTCATAAAGACATTTTTGCATTTCGTCTGGACTAATATACACTCTCTCTTTTTTTAAAAAAAAAGGCAATTTGCCCATACATAATGCATTGCTCTACGCTATTTTCACATATAGATGCATCTTTATGAACTTTCACCCAATATGTGCATTTTTTGTACACATTGCATGGTTGGAAAACTGCATCACAAAATTCAAACAAATGCAAATTTTGAAAGATCACTGTGTTTCAGTTCACCTATTAGTTCAAGAAGAGCAAATTAAGTAGCTTCTCATTAAAATGCAAAGAAAATATAATTTCTATTCCATCCCTACTTGGGATAAAAACTTTGAAATTGTGTACCCCCTGCAAAACACACACTCTATTTTGAACACCAGCAAATTAATTATTTGTACAATATGCACCCACTTAGAAAATAACAGCTTTCTCTCCCTCTTTCTAAAATGTACTTGAAAGTTTACCAGCAGCTGCTCTAATTTGGCAGATTCCTTTAAAACCTCCACCAGCTCCCATTAGAGGCAACTAATGGAATATTATCCATCATCACTGAGATCCCATACTTTTCTCCCTGCCATCTCATACTCTCCTCTCTTTTTGCTCTCCATCAGCAAGTTCACACTCTGAATAAATCCAGAGCTGCTGGAAAAACAGCTAAAGTGCACTTTGGAGTGACGGGTGCTATGATAAACAACCTGCCAATCCTCAACATACTAATGAATGACATCCCAAACAGTTTGCATCATCTTGTGGGAAATGAGATACCAATGCACATCATCCACTTGTTTGCATTGCATGAGCATGCCTCATCTTCACCTTTCTCAGTGATGGGTGAGCAGTCTTGTGCTTGTCCCAAAAATGCACTGTTGCTGCTGTCAATGCATGTAGCAACCACAACCGCACCACCACCCACAGCACAAATGCTTCTTCCTCATCTACACCAGCGATATTTTTTAGCTGCAGGCCAGTCCACTGTCCCTCAGACTTTGTGGCGGGCTGGAGAGGCGGCACCAGGGGAGGCAGCTTGAAGAAGAGGCATGGGGGGCAAGTAGTCCTCCTCCCCACCCCCCAGCCCCAGCCTCAGCCGTTGCGCTTACCTTCCCAGAGGCTGCCACCACTGCCCCCGCTGCTGCCACCACTGCTGCTGCTGCTGCTTCTTGTGGGTAGGCAGAGAGAACTCATCCGCTCTGCTCTCTGGCCCACGGGAGCACCAGGGTGGCGGGGGGCGGAGAGAGATGAGCGGCGTGAAAGGGCTGGCTCCGGAGAGGGGCTGCTTAAAATGGCGCTCAGCCAGCTGAGCCCAGCCCCCTTCCTCCTCTAGGCAGGGCAGGGAGAAGCCAGGAGGAGGGAGGGAGGAGGCACCGCCGTGGTGTGTGTGAGGGGGGGGGATGGAATGGCACAGGGGGAAAAAATGGTGCAGCCCGAACGAACAGAATCCCCATGCCGATCCACAGACAGTCTGCGGGCCGGATCCTGAAGGCAATTGGGCCTGAATTGGCCTGCGGTCCTTAGTTTGCCGACCCCTGATCTACACATATGGCTGATTTGGGAAAGGGTGGTGATTTACACACATTAGAGAACCTGCACGTGAGGTGGGTGGGAGACCTTGAATGGGACAGATTTCCCCCTTGCATAGAAGAACTGTATGTGAGTAGAGATCTTTTGCATACAGATGGTGGCTGCAGTGGGTGTGGCTAGCCAGTGTTGCCTCACAACTAGGGATGAGAGAAGATTTGATTCAGTTCTCATTTGAAGGTGAACTTATAAAAAGCCATGCTTTCTGAAATATTGCACCAGCCCAATGCAAACATTGCTCAAAATGTGCACTTCTCTGAAACTTGCAGTGTGTGTCTCCAGCAAAGTCGTGAGTATAAAAATGCATACACCAGAGCAAGGTGTGCACTGAAATGCATTATATTATGGGAAATTGCTTTGCAGAAATGTGCGTGTGTCGGACAAAAATCACATATGACCATGTATATATTTGCACTAAGAAATTTGCACTAAAATGTTGGCGACTTTTCATGAGAACTTTTTTTTAAAAAAGCAAAGTGATATGAGCATGTAGAGAAGTGACCTTATGACTCTTGAGTGCTAAGAGTTCTTTGCATACATTTTCTTGTTCCTTACAGTAGTTCTGTAAGGTAGTGGATCTGTTGGTTCACACGGAAACCGCACACATTGCAGTCAGGATTGATCCAAAAAATAGCTTGTAGAGGCTGGACTTAAACTTATAGTCCCACCTTGGTCACTAAATTACAGGATAACAAAAATAGAGGAGATAGCATTCACATTTGCCTAAAAGCCCCAAACCAGTAATGGCTGGTGGTCATTGGGACTGGTGGGGTGAAGGGCTAGGAGACTAACAGTGAGTGGAACCAGAGCCAGTTATAAGCAGAGCTGCTACAAAAGTCAAAACTGAGACCTTAGAAGGAGGAAGTTGGGAGCCAGTGCTGCCCCTTGGACAGGTGGTAAATAAGAAAGAAAGGGGCTGGCTGAGGGCAGCTGGAGATTGGCGAGGCAGTGCCCCATTTGCCCCAATGCACCAGCCTTTGCTGTTCCCTTTTGTGGTGGGGGCAGGCCTGTTCAGATTCAGTTGTGAGGGAATGGCCTGCAGTGCACATGCTCAAATAGCCCTCTTTAATTAGCACTCCTCTTTCCCTGGGATTGCCCAATCGGAGCCTCCTAAGCAGCATCTGGGGCTGGACACTGGTGAGCCCTCGCTCAAATCAAGTCCTTCAAAGACTTCAAACTCTTTCAAGATCAAAGCATTTCGGTAGAGAGTGCCTTACGGGGCCCGGAAGATACGAGGAGTGGGAGCGAAACAATTAATTAATTCCATCTTATTGTCCCTCTAATTAAATCAAGAGCAGAGAATGTCAGGTCCCCAGCTCAGAATTACCGCATACTCTAACTCTTCCCTACATCTCTATAAGATGCAGTCCCAGAATTAATGAGCATATAAATTAAAGGAGGAGGGGAAGCGCTCACACAGAAAAGGCAATATACCCGGCCCTGAGCCAAAAAAAAAAAAAAAGGAGCCAAGGCACCCAAGGTATACATATCTGTATGCACACGCACACACACGCACACACACGCACACAGAAAAAGAGAGAGAGAGAGAGAGAGAGAGAGAGATGGTATGGGGAGCACACAGCCATCCAAATGTTGTTGGGCTCCAACTCCCATCAGTCCCAGTCAGCAAGGCCAATGGTCAGAGTTGATAGGACTTGTCATTCAAAGGCATTTGGAGGGTCAAATGTTTCCCAGTTGTGTCTTAGACACAGCCCAATCTTTCATTACAAAGCAGCACTTTTTATACAGGATGAATTTACACTCTCCTTTAACTTTTATTTGTATTATTGGATGAAATATCATAAATGACGCAATCTTGATTTTTACCATTGCCACTTGGCAACTCCCCTGCCACCACTCCTTCCTCACATTACACTTGAAGACTTGGGTTTCTTCTTTTTCTTTTTCCTTTTCCTTTTTTTCCCCTTTTCCTTTTTGCATTTCTGTACATCTCCAGTGGCTTATTTGGTGAGGGATTCTCTTTGTTGAGCTTTTTCCTTTACTTGTCTCATATTTAGCCTTTAAATTATTCATTGCATAATCCTTTAGCAAGTTTCACGCATTTTCATACACTTGTTCGGCTCGCTTGAAACACATCCTGACTGGTTCCTCTCAGTGCTCTGTGTTGAAAATTAATCTGCCACTAATAAAACATTTAAAAGGTGTCGTCTAGCACGGACTGGGATGGAACAACCGTCTCATGAATAAATACATACACCTTTTTTTTTTTTAACAAGGCATGCCTGCCTCCAAAAAATGATTTAATAAGCACAGCATCTTTGAAAGCTGTGCACATTCAGAGCTCCCAATAGTTTTTGCATTGACCCTTTGTGATGATAAAACAAACAGGTGATGGCGAATGCAAATGCAATGCAGAACCTGAGTGCAAAAGCATTTCCCCCATTTGTAATTTATCAGCAACTGGTATTCAGAGGCTTTCTGCCTCCACCAATGAGGCAGAGCACAGCCATAATGTCCAGTAGCCACTGATCTATTCCACCAGAATAGAGACTTAGTGCAACTGTGCTCTCCCCCTCTGCAATTCACACCATTTCGTGTACCTGTACACCAGTCCTTCATCTCCTGAACTTAAAACATTTTTCCTACCCTCTAAAAAAAATCCATATGCTGACTTTCCTCACTTACCTTTCGAGAGAGAAAATGTGCTTCCTTCTACCTTTTGACTAACTGCTGATTTTACAATTTAATCTCAGTCGCCTCCTGGCATCCATTTGTTAAGTACTTGTTAAGGTGCCAAAACAAGCAATGCCCTTGCACATTTGGCTTTTTGATCTTGCTACCACAAAATTGGCCATCTATCAGGACTGACTGAATGCTTGCCACCGGGGGTGAATGGATCTGCCCATGCAAGATAGTAAATTTGTGGTCACTCAGCAGACCTAATTTTACTTGCCACAGATGGAAAATAAAGGTGAAGGAGAATTACTGTAGGTGAGGCTAAATCACTGCTTTCCGCTTGTTCTCTTCTCATGAATGTATGAGGCTAAAAAGGAATGTCTTCATCAGTTTCAGACACTGATTGCTACGGCTGGGGAAAAGAAAACCTCTGGATCTGTATTGATATGTACCAGGTGCAGATGGTGTCCATTGAAACTGGTAGGGGGGGAGGCAGGGAGACCAACAGCAGATGGCACCAGAGCCAATGACAGGCAGAGCCAACTGATTCTGGATTAGCCCCCATCCTCCTCCCTGCTGAGTTCCACAAGGGCAATACAAAGAAGAAGGGGGAGGAGGAAGCTAACAGACAGCGCCACCCTCTGGACTTATTGTAAGTGGGAAGGCAAGCAGGTGAGAGCTGGGGAGGCCAGTGAGGTTGGTGGTGCAGTGCACCATTTTCTTAAATGGATTTATTTTAATTTAATTTCTAGCTTGTTCCAAGCAAAGTGTTAACATATAGCCTTACAAATAAGTTCACTTCCTGGCTTATGGATCAATTGCATTTATACCCCACCTTTTGACCACCGCACCTCCAAAGCAGATATAGGACACAAACTTTGGACAAAGATTATATTAATGTAAAACACAACTCTGAGTATATGCAAAACAACAACAGCAGCAGCAGCAACAACAACAGCCAGGTTAATTAAATAGGAATATGCAATATGATCACATCTTACACACATTCAACTTGTGTGATTTTGATCATACCTGATTGAAGGTCGGCTGGTTGAGATTCAGCAAGCAAGGCAGGAGAGCTTCAAAGCTTTTTTCCTGCTGGGTTTTCCAGACACAAAAAGAGCTTTTAAGCACTCAGTCTTGCTTGGTGGGCAAGGCCTGGTCAGCACACAAGCTCCAGAAGGCTAGCCATACTTGCACGGGGGCAGTTTGAGTATACATGTTTTTGCAAATATGTGGAACCCTTGGAACCGACCCCCCACATAAGGTGCAGTTGTATTGCTGCTGGAGTAGGGAAGTTCCCTATGTTATGAGGGATCAAGTTCCTCCCTACACCTGAGCACATTTGCAGGCATGGCTTCAGAGAAAGGGACTGGAAGGGATCCTTCCTCCTTGCTCTGAACACCTTGCGTATAAGAGCTCGACAAGTACACCACGGCCCTGCCGCCTCAGCATCCCACCACAAGCATGCATGCCAAAAAGCACCCTCCATGATTCCTGCAAAGCGTAGAGTGACCAAGCGTGTCATTAACCCAATTACACCTCATTTGGCTATCTCACCCCTCTTAATCTGTCTTTCCCAACCAGACTAACAGGCAATTAAACCAAAACAAACTACGATACTCCTGAAACAAGACTCCCAGCAGTATGAAGTAGGCAAAAAAGGAGAGTCCAGACAGTGGCGGACCCTGAGGTCTCAAATTTCAGTAGCGCCCTGTGAAACACCAAATTTGGCACCCCCACCTTCCATTCTACACCATAGTTGCAGTGCCCTGGAGGCTCTGTGCCCAGTGTGACCAAACTAGTTGTGCTTCCCTGAGAACATTTAGGGGCTCCCCTCAAAATTCCTACTCATTCTCTAAAGAGGTGACTAACAAAGCCCATATTGCCTTGAGATGGGAGACACTACAAAGAAAGGACCGCACCATTTGGAGGAGATGCAAGCTTATAAAACCAGGTTGTCTCCTCTCCCGACTAGTGGCCACACCAGCTCCTCCCCTGGGCAAAACCAACTGAGCCTTCTTGGAAAGGGAAGCTGGGGTGTGGCAAATTCTCTGGGTGGGACAGGCGTTCTCAAAGGAGCTCAAGATGGTGTGCACGGTTCTCTCCCCCCCTCTAATCCCCACAATAAACCCTGTGAGGCAGATTAGGCTGAGAGGCAGTGGCTGGCCCAATGTAACCCAGTGAGCTTCATAGCCAAGTGAAGATTTGAACCCTGGTTCTCGAGGTCCTAATTCCCACACTGTAACGACTCCACCACACTGTAACACAGAAACAAGGTGCTGACACGTGCTGGGAGAAACCCAACATTATGCACAGAAGTGAAATGCAACCTCCATTTAGAACTAATCAGGTCCAAGGGCCAATATGCCATTCTTGTCCTCCAGTTTCTTAACATAAAACAAACATTAAGTGCATTAAATGTGAAATTAATGTTGCTTATTTTTTTCTCTCCGAACATATTCCTTCCATCATCCGTCGCCCACATGAAATATTGTCACTTCAAAGTATGTAGCGCAAAACATTTAAATCAATGTATGGGTAGAGTGCTGGGGCTTTTGTGTACACACACAGTCACACGTCTCTCTCTCTCTCTATGTATATATAAATATACATGTCATTTCACAGTAATTCAAACTGGGAGAGAGAGTAAAGGAGCGTTTCTCGTTAAGCATGCCTGAGATAAATCAGAAACAGCATCTGTGGAGCCATGGATCTCCTTTCACTGTGACAAATATATTTAGATGCATGGTGTGCTTGGATTAGAAAGCCAGGAGGGAGACTTTTTAATCATTGTTGGGAGGAAACTTCAAAAGGAAAGGATCCTACACCCCCAAATTGGCTTTCTTTGGGCACAAAGCCAGTCTCTTCTCACCCTGTCCCAAAGCCGAAACAAGACAGAGTCACAGTTCACAGCCTCCCTTTCCACAGCACCACTTATAGCAATACAAAAGCAACTTGATTTGTGTGTCAAGCAGGGTAAACCTTAATCCATCTTCCAAGTCAGACATTGCTTAGTGCTTGCAAAAGGGCTGCTGCCCTAACACAGACTGAATGCAAAAGAGACAATTTGAATTAAGCCGTGTGGCAGAGAAAATGATAAGGCTACTAGCCATGGTAGCTATGCTCTCCTTTGGCAGTAAGAGAAAGCCATACCCTGCAACATTCCTCAGATGAAAATAGGGACATTTATCACTCCCCTGCAATTGACCCCCCCCCATTTTTGTGCCCCCCACAGAGCACTTCCTATTAGAAGAAGAGTGAGTGCCACTAACACTTCACCAATGGGACACACACCTGCCACCATCCTGAGAAAACCCTATTTGATTTGATTCTTTAGTAGATTCACAAAATGAAAAACACACACCAACAAATAAATTTTAGAAAGGGGAAAGATTAGATGCAGTCACACAAAGCATTTAAAAAACAACAACCAAGACTCCTTGAGCTCCATTCCTCCTTTCTTCCTGCCCAGGGCAACCATGTCCCTTGCCTAGCGCTCAGAGCCAGCAGCCTTTCCTCCTCCACACCTGCTCTCCAGCAGCCACTATGAGCTGCCCAAGGGAGGAGGCTGGCAGTGGTGGCCATGGAGGGGCAACAGGATGTCTCCTCACAGCCACCGCTGCTGCTTCTGCCATCGCTCGGGAGAAGCTCCAGGTCATCTGCCTCCCCAAGCTTGGTGGGACTGGAGCTGGCAGGGGAAATAGGGACATTCCAGGATCAAATCATAATTCCAGGACTGTCCCTGGAAAATCAGGGAACTTGGAGGGTGTGGTGGAAGCATGGGTTGCTGAGAATCATAAGTAGGGAGAATATTGCTTATAGGTCCTGCTTGTAGGCTTTTCACCAGCCACTGTGAGAACAGAATCCTGGACCAGATGAGCCATTGGCCTGATCCACCAGACTTTCCCTACATTCTCATGCAGAATGGGTGACAGAAAGGTTTTAACGATATAAGTTTAATATGCATAAAATGTTCTGTTTGAATGCATTGTATTTAAAATGCTTTGCAGAGCAGTTTGCATTAGGCACAAGGGGTTTGTCTCTAGTAAATGTGACAAGGAGAGTGCTTAAGGCTAATTGATGACTCATCTTTGGAAACCTGAACATATCTTTCTCAGCATGAGGTGAAATTTGAGAATTCAGCATCTCGATGGAGCCAGGAGCAATAGCAGTAGAAGCTGAGCTCCACAATGGTGATCAAGCAAGATGTTTGCACAGGATCTCTCTCTCTGGGATCAGAGAGAGGAAAGTTCTTGGGCTGAATAAAGGACTAAAATCAAGATGAGACTGCATTGTTAGTTTGTTAAAGAGTAATGTGTTTGTTAAAGAGTAATTTTATAATGTTTATTTGTAACTATTTTATGAGTGTTTCCAGTAAAGCTCTAAAACTCATGCTTGTGGCGAGGAACATTCATTTCTACTCTGCAGAAGTTTCAGATCAGAGATTTTGTTGCAGCAACAAAAGGGACTTCTCTCAAAAATATTTACTCCGTATACTTAAGGCTATGGTTTTCCCAGTAGTGATGTATAGAAGTGAGAGCTGGACCATAAAGAAGGCTGATCGCCGAAGAATTGATGCTTTTGAATTATGGTGCTGGAGGAGACTCTTGAGAGTCCCATGGACTGCAAGAAGATCAAACCTCTCCATTCTTAAGGAAATCAGCCCTGAGTGCTCACTGGAAGGACAGATCCTGAAGCTGAGGCTCCAATACTTATCATGAGAAGAGAAGACTCCCTGGAAAAGACCCTGATGTTGGGAAAGATGGAGGGCACAAGGAGAAGGGGATGGCAGAGGACAAGATGGTTGGATAGTGTTCTCGAAGCTACCAGCATGAGTTTGACCAAACTGCGGGAGGCAGTGGAAGACAGGAGTGCCTGGAGTGCTCTGGTCCATGGAGTCACGAAGAGTCGGACACGACTAAATGACTAAACAACAACAACAATGGTGTGTTGTGCCCTTTGAGACTGATGGGGCAGAAATTAAGGAGTTCAGCAGTAGGTGGAGCCGGAGACCCAATGCCAGGCAGACAGTACTAATTCTAGTATTGTCCCCATCCTCTTTTCTGGTGAGTTATACACTTGAGACCAAGGGGGATGAAGCTAACACTCAGTGCTTCCACGCCCTGGAGTAAATAAGTAGGAGAGCAGGTGAGGGCTGGCTGAGGGCAGGTTAAGGTTGATGGGGCAGCGACCCATTTGCCCTAGTGGAACAGCGCTCACTACCACCAGAGAAATTCTGAACTTCTTTTGGGAGGGAGGAAACTTGGAAATTCAATAGATAAATAAATGTTCAAGATCTGACAGGTGAGGGGGCATAGGATAATAAGACCATGTCAGATTTAGCAGTGGAAGATCCCTGAGGAACATTCCATCACCACTGGTGAAGATTTTAAGAGCATTCAGGTGTGGGGATTATTGTGTTATTTTTCCTGCTTAAAATGCTTCTGCTCTATATGCTAATCTTGCATTACCTTTTGTGTTTAGGATCTGTGGCTTTTTAAATCAAAATCTAGTCATGTCACACTGAATTGCATTTACACCATTGGACATCAGCAGATGTCATCACACACACCACCACCCTTTATGCCAGTGGTTCCCAAATTTTTCCATGCCATGGCTCCCTTGGTTCCATAAACCCATCTCCAGTGCCCCCTACCCTATGCTATTAAAAAGCATTATTCAGAATGGTGGCTTGCAAGACACACCAAGATAGTAACACAATAAAATTCAAGGCAGTAGCAATTAATTGCACATTTATTCAAAATCCAATTAAAACTATTTAGTTTAATTAAGTAACTCAACCAAATTAGTGAACTTGATCCAGTGATGTTAGAGTTTCAAAAGCTGACAGTCATTTATACCTCCAGTGCCGCCGCCCCCTAGCCATTCCCTTGACTCTTAGTGCACCACCCCCTGCCCCGGTAATCCCACTGTTCCCCAGGGGGTGGTACCACTCTATCAGGGAACCACTGCTTTACATGAACACTTCTGTTCCCTTGTGATTTACCCATGAAAATGGCAGGAAAGAGCTGTGTGTTGGGATACCACCCCAAATTTCATCCTGTGCTCCAGTTGATTTTATTTTGTTTTATTTGATGCAAGCAATTAACCTTGAAATGAATGCTAAACTTCTGCTAGATTCCACCAGATTCCCAGAACTGGGTTTTATGCCATGTGAAATATCACATAAAATGTGGAGATTATCTTGTAAAGAAATGTCAGGAAAGTGGAATAAAGTGCTGTCTGAATGCAGACATGAAGGCAGAATTATAACGATGGAGCTGAATCACAGCTGGTGTAGGAAGGGAACACACACAATACCCTATATTGCACCAGGCCATGCCCACATCAGTTTAACACCAGTCCCAGACTTGGCACAAGGACTTTCCCTCCCATGGTTTCTTCCCATCACACAAGGACTGGATCAGCCTCATATCACCTCATGCCATTTAGTTCTTTAATTCAGTCAGAAAATATATCCAAATCCTTTGCAAGTTCAATAAGCAAAATATGGTCTTAACTCAGTTGTTCAGCTTTTTCCTAGAAGTTATTTATATCTCACTTCAACATTAATAGAGCAATAAAACATAGTGTGCACCTTTGGAATGTAATGTGCCGCTTGTATTTTAAAAATAAAATAAAAATTATTTTTTTTAAATAAAAAAAATAGTGGTGTGATCCACACACTGATTTTCAGGAAGGGGACATAGGTGTGAATCAAATCAATTGCAAATCAGAGGAAATTATTTGATTTGAAGTAGGGGGAAGGGGTGCTAAGCCAGCACAAAATTAATTCAGGCTGCAATACTATACTCCAGAGACAGGGAACCTTTTTCAGCCAGAGTGTCACATTCCATTGTGGGCAGCCTTCCAGGGCCAGTGGTGGGCGGGGCCAGAGGCAAAAAGGAGTAGAGCAACAAATGTGTAAATTCTACCATTGTACAGTAGGCTAGTTTTTACACACACTCCTCTCTAACCAACATCCAGGGTACCAAGAGAGATTGAGAAATTTCAAGGACACATACCACTTCAAGCAAAACATTTGTAGGAAAAAGCAGGGGTAGTGAGTGTGTGGTCTGGAAAAAGTTCTGAGGGCCAGAGGGAGAGGACTGAAGGGCCACAGTTGCTTGCCACCCACGCTATATCTGCTAACCTGGGATAAAAACCCATTGAATTAAATCTGAATAGACATGCATGGGATAGTGCCGTTGGCTCTGGGATTCTGAAGAGAGCCTTCTTGATCCTTGAGGTTTGTTATTAATATTCTTTTGTTCAGCCACTGTTAATATATTAGTAGATGTCTAATCATAGAATTGTAGGGTTGGAAGGGACTTCAAGGGGCATCTAGTCTAACCCCCTGAAATTCAGGAATCACAGCTAAAGCATCCCTGATAGATGGCCACCCAACCTTCCCTTAAAAACCTCCAGTGAAGGAGAGTTCATCACCTTCCAATGATGTCCATTTCACTGTGGCGCTGATATCAATCTGTTTATTTGAAACTCTTCACGTAAAGAGACATACTGACTGTCATATTTCAGTAAGAACATAATACTTCCAGGAAAATTAACACCACCATCAATGGATAAAATCTTGTTTAGTTTAGATCTCAGGTACTAAACAGCTGTTGCCAGAAATGGCAGCCAGATGTTCCACAATGATACAAAACATCATGCTCAATTTTAAAGAAGCTTTTCCTCCCTCCAAAACTGCATTCTAATAGCAGGATGATGCCTCTTTTAAATCAATGATTTATTAAAGCAAAAGATATTAAGTGCCTTTTACTTTTCACACTCTGGGGCCCTCCAGAACATGCTATTATGCACATCAGCAAACATAGGAAAATGTCTGTAACAATCTGAGAACTCCTTGCTAGCTGATATGCCAATTGTTAGACATTCATCTGCCTTTTTCCATTGGAAACAGTTTCCCGCACACCTGTACATTTTAACCTAGGTAGAGACATGACTGTTTACTACCTGCATTTTTCCCCCTAAAAAAGAGGGTATTCTAATCGGTTCTTGTTGCTCTGGTCTCCTTTTCCTCCTAGTCAGCGTGTACAAAGACTGCTATAAAGATATCTCATCTTTCATTCTCATGGAATCAGTGCCTTGAATTTCAATGGAAAGGATGATAAAATGTATCAAAATACCTCACTGTGTCTCATTCAGGTCCACTTAGGCTCTTGGCTTTCCCGTAATCATTTCAAAACACTGAAGCATTTGCTATTTAAAATGAAGCCATATACCCCGATGGCAAGTCATAAACCACTCATTTTAAGCCACTTGAGCTGCCCAATTAAAGCTGCTGAGCATTGCACGGCAGCTGATGTGGCAGCAACTCAAAGCTTTTGCCCATAGAGACCTATATTAAGTGTAAACAGCGCTGAACAGGAATGACAAAAGTTAAGGTGCAGGGACATGTGTGAAGGGGTCCCCCCTCCCGCATTTTCATTTTTTAACTAGAGTTCCCAGGGTTCTTTGGGGAAAGTTATGAGCTTTTAAAGTGGTATGATACTGATTTGAATGCACAGTGCAGATGGGACCATATTTCTAGAGAGGCATTGTAGGTTATTGTTTTACTCTTATTCATTTGTTTGGTTTCAATACTTCTTGGGAGCCAGCTTGGTGCAGTGGTTAAGAGCGGTGGACTCGTAATCTGGTGAACCAGGTTCGCTTCCCCACTCCTCCACGTGCAGCTGCTGGGTGACCTTGGGCTAGTCACACTTCTCTGAAGTCTCTCAGCCCCACTCACCTCACAGAGTGTTTGTTGTGGGGGAGAAAGGGGAGTAAGTCGTAAAAAGTGTGAGTCACTTTTCATGGGAAAAGAGGCAAATAAATAATGTTGTTGTTGTTGTTGTTGTTGTTGTTGTTAATTAACCACCCTTCACCCAGGGTGGGTCATAAGAATTTAAAATACTATATAAACACAGTTGTAAAAAAATCACAATAATAGGGTGGCTCCTACAAACACACCCACCCCTCATGTGTCAAAGACCAAGGCCAAGAGGTTTGTCTTCCAGCATATGGTGAAAACTGTAGAGTGAAGGTACCAGTTGCATCTCTGTCAGGAGGGCAACTGTCACAGAGCATGCCCTCTCCCAGGCCACCAGGAGTGCCAGCTTGGCCCTGCAACAGTGGATGCCTGGGACTGTGGGTGCCGTGTAGTGTGCATGGCCCTGGAGCTGAAATTTGTGGGTGTCTGGCCCCTTCATGGGAAAATTTGTGGGTGCTTAGACACCTGGGGCTCCAGGAAGCCAGCACCTATGCAAGCCACACACCCTGAGCTCCTGAGAGCAATGGAACTACCAAGAGAGCCTCCTCTGTGGATCTCAGCACCTGAGATAATAGTAATATGCCACTGCACTGAGTACTGTATCACTGAGCAACACACACAGCTTTTAGTGGAGAGTCAACCAGTAGCCGTAGTTATAAATAGCAAAAATGGCCATCTCATCCTCAACTGACTTAACATTATGATGTCTGGAAGGGCTTCCCAAATGACCTACATCGATTTAGGACAACTGAGGATCTGGAGGCATTCACAACTGTGGTGTGCACCCTTGCGTGGCGATGCTCATCTGACTAATCATGCTGGAGGTAATGGCATCTTAGTGTAGGTTTAAATTGAGTAATATTACCATTAATAACAGTGCTTAATTAAGACATCTATAATGTTTTTAATGAGAAAAAATTGAAAGTCCTTCTGGATTTTTTCCAGTCAAATTAATATTGAGGACTTTAGACATTATTACAAGTGGCATTACAGGAATTAAAATTAGGTTTAAATTAAGAGGTGTCACTTTGCTTTTTTTAAGAAAAAAAATTAAAAATAAACCCAGAGCTTTTTGGAGCTATATTAAGTACTTACGCTCTTAAGTCAGGGAAATTACCTAATACAATTTGCAAGGTGTATCACTATAAAGGGGTGTCATTATAGAGTACTATGAGGAGAGAGGCTCAGTCACATCTCCCAGGAAAGGTTCCAGAAAGATCTGTAAGCAAGGTGAGCTTTGCAAGTGTCCTCTGACCAGTATACAACCAAGGCAAGTATGAGCCAGTCATCTGGTGATGTCATCACATCCTGTGGAGAGGAGACGTATATTTCAAACACATCCAACCCACACTAAAATCACATGACACCCCTCTAAGAATCCTAGGAACTATCATTTCTCCTTCACAGAGCTATAATTCCCAGCACCCTTAAAAAAACAAGCGTCTCTATTATTCTTTGGGGGAAATCATGTCTTTTAAAGGTGGGTCAGATATACTTTTAATCTATGGAGTGTTTTAAATCTATGGAGTGTATTTAAATCTATGGAGTGTATTTAAATCTATGGAGTGTATTTTGGGTCATTAAAGCAGATTTTGGAGTACAGAATGGGAAGCTAAGCTCCATTCCTGCTGCTGCTAGTTGTGACACTTCCAGAAAAGGACAAAACTCAGCTTTTCCTGGTTTCTGTTTTTTCCAACCTTTAAGTGCAGCTCACTACATTTCTACATGAGATAGTGATTGTTATAAACTTTTTTTTAAAAAAAAAAAATAACCACCACAACCCTACAAGCTCCTACAAAAATGAAACTGCTGTAAACTTGTTTACAGTTCCTGGTCCAGATGACATACTTAGCTAAACTGTGGCTTAGCATTCTGCAGCACAGTAGCAGAACTCATGAGGGAGCACATTCTTCTCTCTGGAAGCCCCCCCTCTCATGCACTCATGGCTTGGCTTATCATGGGGGTGGGGGGTGGGCAGGACTGAATCTGGCTAGTGGTCCAGATCCCTACACTCCCATGGGATTGTTTTTAACCGCTTTTAATATTGCGTTAGGGTGAAGAAAGGGTAAGAAATGATGGTGATATGTAACAACTTGAAAGGGGCTCACCTTTGCAAATGATTTGCAAGTGGTTTTAATTTAAAAAAATTAAACACAGACTTCAGCATTATGACAGCCATGCCTTTATCTGCCTCTAGGTACAACAGTTGGGGTAGTTTGGGGTAAATGGCCTGCCAGACTGAAGTGGGCCCACCCCTGGATTAGCATTATGTACAAAATGGGTCTTTGCTACCTCACAGGTCACTGTGTAACTATTGGGGTAGAGCAGCACATGATGCAGGTCTCTGCCCCCCCCGCCCCCTGCTCCTCCTCCTCTTCTTCTTCTTCGACAAATGCATCAATGAAAGGGGGAATGGAAACAAGAGGTGGCAGAAAACTACTCGGAAACCACTGCAAAAGCCAAAAAATGGCATTTGAAATCCTTAATGTTCAGGCCCAACTGCTGCCTCTTACCCCATTGTCAGAAAAAATCATTCTGAAATCAATTAATTTCCTTTTGCATTTTCTCTTGCACAGACACCATTTCCAGTACATTCTTGGAATAATGAGCCTGGGGTTTAAGAGCTGTAAGCTGAAGTAAATCAAGCACAAGGAAAGGATTTGAATACCATCTACTCCCACTTTATTTTACATTTGTTAATGTGCCAGTCATCAATACATTCCCCGTTTATTGAGCAAGAACAAAATGTTAATATTAAAGCTTCCCTTACAGGTGATGACATTCCGCTAACTGCTATTCCCCAAACACACTGGAGATATATCTTTGCTGTCTCCAGACAGCAGTGACGCACCTTGTACAGGAGGCTAGGAGAGAGTAGAAATAAACCTTGGCATTAAGAAAAATGAACGCTGTAAAAAAATAAAATAAAGCACATGGGGATTGACTTTCCTCCCCTTCATAATTCAGGTGACTTGTATGATTGGATCTTTACAAAGATACCCATTTATACTTCTGCACTAGGCTATGGACATATGAAGCTGCTCTCTGATTATGGGTGTGGAATTTATGGCCCTCTAGATGACATTGGACTCCAACTCCCATCAGCCCTAGCCAGCACAGAGCTGATTGGAGCTGGAGTCCAGCAACATCTGAAGAGTAGCAGGTTCACTCTTCCTGATCTAGCTAGTATTGTCTACTCTGGCTGGCAGCAGCTATCCTGATTATCAGGTGGAACCTATTCCCAGAGTCCTGGAGATGCCATCAACTGAACATGGGGTCTCTGCATGTTGAGCTTTTGCCTTACCAATCAGGCATGTGCCTTCCCTTAAACCTGCCTTACTATTGACTTGCTAACATTTCAATCATATTTTTTTTCTAAAAAAGTTACTTTTACATTTATATTACACCTTTTCTCCAAGGAGATCAAGGTTGTGTACATTGCAACAACCTTATGAGGTAGGTTGGGCTGAAAGACAGTGACGGGCCCAAGGCCACCCAGTGAGCTTCATGGCCAAGCAGGAATTTAAATCCCACTATCACAGGCCCTAAGGGATGCAGGTGGCACTGTGGCTTAAACCACAGAGCCTAGGACTTGCCGATCAGAAGGTCAGTGGTTCGAATCCCCGTGACAGGGTGAGCTCCCATTGCTCGGTCCCTGCTCCTGCCAACATAGCAGTTCCAAAAAGTGTCAAAGTGCAAGTAGATAAATAGGTACCACTCTGGTGGGAAGGTAAACGGCATTTCCGTGCACTGCTCTGGTTCGCCAGAAGCAGTTTAGTCATGCTGGCCACATGACCCAGAAGCTGTATGCCGGCGAGATGAGCGCCGCAACCCCAGAGTTGGTCATGACTGGTCCTAATGGTCAGGGGTCCCTTTACCTTTAACTTTACCTATCACAGGCCCTAGTCCAACATTCTGGTCACTGCATTTCACTGACTCTCTCATAAACAATGTCTACTCTAATATAAATCCTATTGAATCCAATAGAGTTTATTTCCAGGTAAGTAGTGTCAGGACATCAGTCTAAGCCAGGCTATTTGTCCATTTAGTCTTGAACTATTCCTCCAAGGAACCGCTTTCTGGAGCTACAGAAAGGGTTCATCCCTCTCTCCAATTCCAGAAGCACCAGGAAGTGAATCTGCAACTTTGTGGATGCTTTTCATTAACCCTGAGGTGGGGAATCTTCAGCTCAAGGACTGCTTTTTTCTAGCCAGGATGGAGAGATGTAAAGAGATACAGACACGTTTGGCTTCTATGTGGCTATTGCCTACAGTCCAAAGGGAGAAGTCATCCATTCATAGAATCATAGAATCATAGAGTTGGAAGAGACCACAAGGGCCATCGAGTCCAACCCCCTGCCAAGCAGGAAACACCATCAGAGCACTCCTGACATATGGTTGTCAAGCCTCTGCTTAAAGACCTCCAAAGAAGGAGACTCCACCACACTCCTTGGCAGCAAATTCCACTGTCAAACAGCTCTTACTGTCAGGAAGTTCTTCCTAATGTTTAGGTGGCATCTTCTTTCTTGTAGTTTGGATCCATTGCTCCGTGTCCGCTTCTCTGGAGCAGCAGAAAACAACCTTTCTCCCTCCTCTATGTGACATCCTTTTATATATTTGAACATGGCTATCATATCACCCTTTAACCTCCTCTTCTCCAGGCTAAACATGCCCAGCTCCCTTAGCCGTTCCTCATAAGGCATCGTTTCCAGGCCTTTGACCATTTTGGTTGCCCTCCTCTGGACATGTTCCAGTTTGTCAGTGTCCTTCTTGAACTGTGGTGCCCAGAACTGGACACAGTACTCCAGGTGAGGTCTGACCAGAGCAGAATACAGTGGCACTATTACTTCCCTTGATCTAGATGCTATACCCCTATTGATTCAGGAGAGAGAAAAGAAAGTACTTCTCCATAGTATTGGACAAACAAGGACTGGACAAATTGGTGGTCTATCAAAGGCTACTAGCCATGATCCCTAAGTGCCTTAATAGTTGGAGGCAGGAAATGCTTCTGAATACTGTCACAGGAGAGGAGAGTGCTCTTTTGCTCCGGTCACAGGAGAGGAGAGTGCTCTTTTGCTCCAGTTCTTTTGGGGAATTTCCCACAGGCCTCTGGTTGGCCACTGTGAGAACAGGATGCTGTACCAGATGGGCCATTGGCCTGATTCAACAAGCTCTTCTTATGTTTTTATATTTCTTACATTATTCTCCATTGTCTCACCCACTTTGCTTCAGGTCCCTCCAACCACTGGCATGTTCCTCCTCCTGTCCCACCATAAGAGAACAGGAGGAGAGATTTTAACTAGCTCTTACTAGTTCCCGGCTCATTTTCTCAGCTACAGCTGTATACTACCTCTCTGTAAAACTCAAAAACAAGTACTACTATGAATCATTTTATATGGATTAGGTTCCATCTAATCAAATCATATCAAGGATTTAAGTGACCTCCCCGCCTCACACTTCTTAGTGCCTAGAGGTTCACTCTTTTAAAGCACTCATCCTCTCACTAAAATAAAATAAAAATAAAGCATTATTGCATTCTGGGTTCCAATGCATCCTATTTTTAGCTTATATATATGAACATTGCAAGCCACCACCCTTGGAACAGACATTCCGAACATCATTGAGCTGGCATGCTTTGGGAGGTTTCACTGCCACGTTATGAGAAACAGACGTCCTAGTACATTCCCGAAACATTACACAGCCAGTCTCAAAATATCCTGTGCTGCACCAAGCAACCCCTCTGGAAAAGTAATAATAATATTGTTTGTTTGTTTGAGTCTTGGAGGTAAGGAAAAGAAGAAAGCAACAGAACGCTTGGTGTTTTCAAAGCAGCCGGCACCACATAGAAGCAGATCGTCTTGTTTTGAAGAAAGTGTGTTTATACAGTGCAATGGTTGGGATTAAAATGCTCAAAAACAAGATTGCTATATCAAGAGTAAACTATTTAGTGTGAAGCTCCACCTTTCATCATCATTTTGTCTTTTAGAATAGGGAGACAGAATATAATCAATGTGAACCAAACTGGGGCACTCCACTGTGGAGGTGGGAGAAACCTGATTCAGATCACATTTAAACTGGATTTACCCAATTGGCACAGTGTGCAAACAGAAACACAGCCATCCTTCAAAGTTTGCAATTCTCTGAATTTTGCACTACAGTTCTCTAGGAAATGCATATCTTACTGAAAATAATATCCCAATGAAACAGCTGTGGTGGTGTGAAATCCAAAAGTAGGAAGTTTCAGACAAGTTTTCTAGAGGCTGCCTCCTGAACCACTTTGGATTAGAACCAAACTTTTCACCCAGTTCAAGCCCAAGTAGAATTTAATCCACTTTAGCATGGAGGAATTTTTACTTTACTGGATCATACCAATGCTGTGGCTGTTAGTGCTGATTGGGACTGGTAGGAAAAACAGGGAGATGAACAGTAGGTGGCGCCAGAGCCAATGACAATTGGAGTCAACTGAAGTTGGGGCAGTGTCCCATTTGCCCATGTAGAACAGCCTCCACTGTACCAAAACCTCATGAAGTACAGCTTACAAAGTATACGGTGAACCAGATGCCTCTGGAAAACCCTCAGCAGGATTGAGGAATAATAGACCCTGTGCTTGTTTTATCAGCTGCCACTGGTGAATCTCCATCTCATTTCTGTTCTTCATTTTTGTTTGTATACTTTTGCCTTTTGGGGGTGCATATTCAAATGTTTAATGCAAGTTGTTAGGAGTTGTTCTTCTTTAAGATTCAGCTGGCTCCCCAGGGCCTTGAGAACTTAAATCTGAGTTTTGCCTCTAGTGCATACAGTTATAAAATGCATATATATATATATATATATATATATATATATATGAACTCTAAAGAGCTTTGCACCACCAGCCATTTCACACACTGATGCTGCTGAGGTCTATTTCGATGTGCCAGCATCCTGTAGGGCAACTGTGTTGTTGCTTTTTTCTCCTCCCCTCCTAACCCAAAAAACAAAACATTGTCTTGGCTTTTAAAACAAAGCAAGACAGGCTGTTCTAGAGGAAAGGAATGCAGCATGCAGCCAGCAAGGATGAACCTTCCAGCAAAGATGTAATATCAATGGAAGGTGTGGGGTCTGCATAAAGATAAGAGCTGCTTCGAGAATTTGATCTTTGCCATTCTGATTTGGCCCGACTCCCAGGTGCTTGGTTTGGACTATAGCGATCCATCAGATTTCACACTTCTCTACATATTGTGACATAGTTCACAGCTCACAAAAACATATTCAACATGCATTGAAATGTGTATTTTGAAACTTTTTTTAAAAAAAGAGAAATACATTAACAGTATGCATTTAAAATGGATTCAACATGACTGCAGGGACTGCTTTGAAACTACAAGTGGTTTGTTTGCTTGACTTTGCAGGCATTAGAAAATGGATCCAGCTGGTGTACCCCAAGATCTGACTGGTCTCCCCCAAGGCTCAAGGTCTACTATAACACATAGGTCAACTGAAGCTGCTCTATATCTTCTCACTGAAGATAGCATCCAAGATCGCATCTTCCCCTGGTGCCTGTGACTTTCCAGATATTGCAACTCCCATCATCTTTGACCATCGACCATGCAGGTTCTGGTTGCTGGGAGTCACATAGCCTCCAACATTCTTCAGATGAAAATAGGGCCATTCCATTCTACATTAGTATCGCTGCCAGAGTAGGTGGGTAGGTTCATTCATGTTAATATTTTTATCAAAGTTTTTCATGATAGACAACCACCCTGAAGTCCAGCTAGCTCCAGCGCTCACTCCAAACCCCCATGATCTCCTTGCCCACCACACCCCTCAAACTTTAGCCCTCCACAGACCTGTTTGCACCCCACCAGCTACATCCTTCCCCACACCCCAGAGTCTGTTCCTGCCCAGGGTCTCCTCCAGCTGCAGTCTTCTCTTTAGACCTGACCTTGTTCACTTTCTCCTTCTTGTTTTTATTTGGTGTGGCTGGGGGTCCACCAGGCCAGAGAGTCACAGGGTCCCATGGCAGAACTAGTGGTGGTGACAGAAGTGGCTCCATTGTCTTACCCCTTCTCCTCTTCCAACTGCTGCTGCTACTCCATCAGCCAGCTGGCCAGTTGGCCTGTGTGGCTCCCTCCCTTGGACCTGGCATAACTCTTCCCTCTTCCCCTCACACCGCCTTCTCCAGCTCCCAGGAGCGGCAGCCAAGGGGGTGGCAGAGGAGGAGATCTCAGCCAGTGACTCTTCCTTCCCTTCGCTTCCCCCAATGTGAAGTCATTTCCTGTTAGTGTGCCTCAACAAAGATGGGAATTCAGGACTCTGCATGAGAAAGTGAGAAGCCATGATGGCTTAAGGGTTTTCGTGATGGTCCTGGCATTTTCAGGGCAGTTGGAGACTATGGAGTCAGAGTTGAGCAACATGTGGAGGACCACAGGTTAGCCACTCCTACCATAGAGTGCTGAACCAATGTTCCCAGGATGTTCAAAATCCTTCTAGAATGTGGGATCCCTTCGCTGAGAAGCTATGTGCCAATGTGATGATATGGGTGGTTATGCCATAAAACATGCAGCAGCATAATAGGATACACTTAACAAGGGATCTGTTATGTACTGAGTTGAATAGGATCCAAACTGCAGCAGTCTGATTGGTCCTAGAACAATAGGATTCAGAATGCAGCAGTCTGATTGGTCCTAGAACAATGCAGCAGTATGATTGGTCAGCAGGAGCCACCCAATCCAGCTCCAGATAGAAGTGAATCCACAACCTGATTGGCCTACAGGAGAATTCCGGAATTAGCCAATCACGTGCAGCCCGTTGTGTAAATAATGTATATAAAGCAGATACTTTGAGGGGACTTTCATTCCCTCCTCACCACTATGAGCTGAATAAAGAGCATGAAATCCACTCTCGACTCTCAGTATATTTCAGAATCCTATGCTTTGTGCATCTGTTTCCCCCTTGGTGTGTGTGTTTGTGTGTCCATCATTCCAAATAAAAACTGAAACTGGTTAGGTTTTCTGATGATTCTGATATGAAGCTTTCATTACACACACTTCTGCATTTTGCTGTCAAATCCCCAGTTCTGAGGATGCTATGTTACTCTGTGGAGAAGTGTATATGTCATGAAATGTGACTTCTAAGCTTGTGCATGCGCACATGCACACACACACACACACACACACAAAATGCACAAATGTAGTTCAGCAACACATGCAAATCACAATGCGCCCCAGCAGAATCTCTGATCTTGGGCCCCAACAAGATAGATTTTTCTGGATACACTGCTCTATATATTTCTAGTGAACCCAATATAATTGCTATATTTGCATTTTAGAGACATAACATCTTCACCTCCTTCTTCCATGTGATATATATATATATATATATATATATATATATATATATGGGATTGTGTGAGTTTTTAGGGTCCCCCCACTTTTAGTTTGGAGGCTGGATTGCTATTGACCCTGGGTGCAGAAGGAAGAAGGAGGGCCTCAAATGAACATTCTGACCCTGGGCCTCTCGGGAGTTTTAAAAGGGGGCTGTCAAGAGGGGATGAGAATAAAAGATCTAACAGTAAACCAAGAAGTACAGCAATTCCAAAGGGAGTTAAGTTCCATTGCAACTCTATTTGGCTCTGGTACATGGTCAGCTTACTCATGATTTCTGTAGGCTGGAGGGGAACGCCCTGCAAAGAAGGACAACGAGTCAAAAGGAAAGAACTTAATGTACTTTCATTATTTTTAGGTTCTAAGAGGAATATAAATGCTTAAATACAACTATGTCAGTTGAAAAATTGGCAAGATGCAGAAACGATCTTATAGCAGCTGATTTTTTATATTTTTTATTTTGTATTATGCAGGAAAGGGATGTAAGGACAGAGGAGAAATCCATTCAATTTGCCTTGTAATGGGAAACTACCTAATTCACAATTCCCAGACCAATACACAACTCAAAATTTTCCAATGCTAGCCCCACAAACAAAAAATGGTGTACAGAAATGATAATAATCCTGTGGTAGGCGTACATGTGCACAAATTACACACCCACCCACACAGACACACATAATGCATAACGATTAGGGGAGAATGCTTGCAAAAATGCATATATTAGAAGTAATGCATACAAACATGCATGTTGTGAACTGCTGAAGAAAAGGGATGAACTGAGCTTAGGAAAGTAAAAGTGAGAAACTGACACTGACGAATTTGGTCATCCCTAGATGGATGATCAAACTGCAAACAATGTCAAAATCAAAAAATACACCACTGGGCATATCTGCATCACAGTCTTAAACTACTCTAGCATAATTCCATTTCTACAGTGAAACTAAGAAATGTTGTTCCAAGAAGCATAAGTGGGGGATTCCCTAACATAATTCTTAGGATTTCATCACTACAGTTCCCCAAAGAGACCCTTCCAGCCCTTCTGATTCTATGAAATGGCTGCTCTCTTGTTGTTCAACCCCACATGCTGACCAATTGCATATTAGTGTAGCTAAACAATATTTCAATATTCCTTGGCAATATTACAAGAGATTGAATATATTTGAACTCATCTGTGTCCTCGCTCCTTTACTGGCACTTAAACTCCAGCAGCGCTAGATGAATCATGCAAGTCACAAGTAAATATTGCAGAAACCCGTGGTGATGCTGCAACAGTAAATTAATTGTTCATAAGTCACAGGATTTGATGGTAATGGCTTATTTAAGGCAGCCCTGTGTTGGACAAAACTCACAAGCCCGAGGAAGGAAAAGAAAGGCCATGAAGTTTCAACAAACAAGGCATTTTGCTGTTCAATTTGTCTGGGTAGTTCATGGTCGTTGTATGCACACTGGAAGCCCATGCAATGAATTTCAATTTACTTTACCTGGTATAAGGATGGAGGAGAATTTCATTCCATTCACCTTTTTATTTTATTTTTTTTAAGTGAGCCAACCAAATTCATACCTTTCGGACTAATCCATGGCCCTTCAGATTTCACACTTCTCTGAATTTTATGACACATGCCTTGGCTCAAAAAATGTAGCAAAAGGTGTAAAACTATTTTAGAATAAAAGGTTCTCTCTAGCATCGGACATGCTAAAAGCTGAATAACTGAAGTGAATGGAAATAATTTAATTCCAATGGGTCTACTCCAAGTCAAACTTACTTGGATGCAACTAAATATATTTAGAAATGCATAAAGTATTTTGTGATTAAATGTGCGCTCAAACATGGATCTTGATGTGTACTTCAAACAAAATCACAAATTAATGGGAGGAAGGCAGGATGGAATAAACTTGCTAATGAGCACACATGAAATCGATAATAGATTTTAAAATGGTCACATGTGAAATTGACATGCACTGATCCATTCATCTGTGGAGCAGTTTCCCTGATTCTAAACATAGCTCTTTGTACTCTATTCTTCTTATTTATTTAAAACTTTTATGCCCCACCTTCCCCCAGCATATCTCAATATAGCTAACAAAGAACAAGTTAACATTTTAGAACATTATTAAACACTAAAATAATAACAAGACCTAACACAGCACAGCAACAATAAAAAATATTCAAAATCCACAGACAGTTAAAACTAGAGAGCCCTTTAAAAGAACCCTTTAAAATCAAAACGTCTTCTTAAAAATTAGGAAGTCATTAAAGAAGGGTTGTAAACCAGATTCCACTGAAAGGGAGTTTCAAAGCAACCACCAAGAAGGTCTTCTGCCTTGTCCCAACACAAAATGTTTCTGGGAACATTCCCAGACACCTAGGAGTACCTCCAAAGATGATGTCAACAGGCAGCCAGGTAAGGTAAAGGTAAAGAACCCCTGGACAGTTAAGTCCAATCAAAGTTGACTATGGGGTACAGCACTCATTTTGCTTCAGGCCGAGGGAGTCAGCATTTGTCCACAGACAGCTTTCCAGGTCATGTGGCCTGCATGACTAAACCGCTTCTGGTGCAACGGAACACTGTGATGCGTGCCAGAGCACACAGAAATGCAGTTTACCTTCCTGCCACAGCCATACCTATTTATCTACTTGCACTGGTGTGCTTTCAAACTGCTAGATTGGCAGAAGCTGGGACAGAGCATCGGGAGCTCACCACTGTCAAGCAGATTTGAACTGCCGACCTTCTGATCGGCAAGCCCAAGAGGCTCAGTGGTTTAGACCACAGTACCACCCATGTCCAGGTCAGCAAACTTGTATGGGAGAAAGCAGTCCTTCAGATATTCCAGGATGTGATCTGAAGGCAAATGAGATCATCACCTTGCTGAAGCTTAAGTATGTCTTGCTCTGGTCAGTGCCTGATGACCAACCTGCCTGGGAATCACATCTGTGTCACATTGGGTTCCACGGACAGAATACAGATCCAAGAAAATGAATGAATGAATGAATGAATGAATAAATAAATACTCAAGTGCTAAACCACAGTTATCACCAGCATTTTCAATTGTGCCCAAAACCAAAGTGGAATCCATTGCATTTGGTACAACAAGGGATTCGTCTTCAAGGATTGATTCAAGGGAAAAGTGATCCCATTGTCTTCACCCTAAGTCATCAACACGCCTTGACTGGTGGGCAATATCACCATTAGAGCAGTATAGCAAGATCATTGCCTTGCAATAGGGAAGTGTTCCTTCCATTCCAATTTAGTGCAAAAGATTGATGGAAAGGAGGCTTTGAGATTACCCTCCATGATATTGCTGCCATGTAACCAAATTTGACTGGCAATGTCATGATCTGATTGCTCTTCCGAAAACCACAGGAGGTGAGAGTCCTCAGGTCCTACTTGCAGGTTTCCCACAGGCATTTGGCTGGCCACTGTGTGAACAGGATGTTGGACTAGATGGACCACTGGCCTAATCCAGCAGGCTCCTTTTAGGTTCTTATGTTTACAGGGATGGCTAATCCCTCTAGAAGTTGTTGTACTCCATCAGCTCCATCTTGCGCACAGGCAATATTCCCCAAAAATGGGATTGATACTATACCTGCCCTACAAAATATGGTCCTCGCCTGCTGTGTCTACTGTATGCATCACTGACAGCCAGCTCCCCCTTGATTCCAATGGTTGTGAGCTAATGGCAGATCTACTCATAGTAGACCCATTGACAGTATTGGATGTGACTAATGTGGAATCTGCTCTGAATAGAATACAACCCCAACATCTGTCCACCATCAAACCATGATACCACCTCCTTCTTCTCCTTCCTCCACTCTCCAAAAACCATGACAGACACATCTTTTCTTTGCTCCTACAAATGATTACACTATTATTACCATTACCCACTTAAGTGACAGCATCTGCAGCAAAGGCTAAGACAAATGCTGGCTGCTTCACAGAGTGGCTATGCGGCAGCCTCCCAATGAACCTCAACTCTGCAGCTGCAGCTGGTTAGGTGAGAGGGCACCACAGAAAACTGCCAACAGATGGACAAGCAGCTCCAAAAGTCTGGCAAGCAGACAGCTGCAGTGCAAAATAATTCTCATCAGTCTCTTACTGATCTCCCTTGGCTTCCATCTACTCTACATCTTCAGTCCTACAGTGAACCAGGAGAGATATATTCTTACCTTGCTTCCCCCCTCCCCAAGGCCTAGTTATTTCCCAACAGCTACAACAAGGATGAATCCCCCAATTCTAAGTGCTAAAGCAGTAATGTATTGTCATGAATGTTCATGTGAAGACCGATTACATCTCTGCTGACCAGGCATAGAAAAATATAGTATGTGATTATGATTCTGCAGGCAACCTTTGTTGACTTTAAGAAAACAATTCTGCATGATGTTTTTAGTTTTAAAACACGCATTGAGAACCTTCACAGAATCATAGAATTGCATAGCCAGAAATAACGAGGGTCATTTAGTCCAACTCTCTGACATGCAGGAATCTTTCATCCAATGTAGGGCTCAAACCTGCAACCCTGAGGTTAAGAGCCTCATGCTCTATCAACTGAGCTATCCCATCCCTCTTCAGCCCAAGGGCCACATTCCATTCTGGACAACCTTCCAAGAGCTGCATGTCAGTGGTGGGTGGAGCCAGAAGCTCACAGGGGTAAAGCAAAGAACATAAATTCTACCTTCGACACTGGGCTAGTTCCTATGCATACACTTGCACAGAATGTAGCAGAATTCACCTGGTAAAAACTACCACTACTACAACCAGAAAACCCAGAAAATCTGGAGAAGCCCCATGTGCTTATCCTGGATGCTCCAATCACCTCAGGAAGGTTTCATGGATCAAAAGTCTTAAGGTTTCCCTCACGTATCATGTAATCCAAAACCCTTTCCCTTAAAGAAAGATATCGTAACACTATAAGACGTGTGCTCATGCCTTTATTTAGAACTCAGAGGGTTAAATGTTCCTCTTCATACATCAGCTACTGCAAGATGATATTTTTCTGCCTCTAAGCAGCAAGTCAACAACAACAAAAAGTAGACCGAACTGATTTTTTAAAAAACTTTCATTCTTCAATTTGTTTTGCACTTTTCAATATATTCAATTTTTATCTACTTGCTCAGACTCCTCTGTCAGCACATGAGAAGGGATACTAAGTTCAGCAGCTACATCAGCAAGAAACCAGCACCATATATCACTGCGTTGATACGGCTGGCTTTTCAGCATCTTAAAAAACTCTCCATGGCGCAAATATTACAGAGATACAGAAAAGCTAAATGCAAGGTCCAGCCGTGACTGGAGCCAGGGTTTAAGAGTTTAGCAGCACAAGGACATCTCAGCCATAATGCAACAGATTTGGACAAGGAAGAAGGGTCAAGTCTATGAAACCCCGGAAGCCTGTGCAGTGATTGAGACAAAGAAAATACTAAAATTCAAAATCTTAAATCTTAACAGCCACTCTCTATATTGTTACACACCACCTCAATTTCAGAGTATTGAGAGACTCCAGAGGTGTCAAGAACTTTCCCAGGTTCTGTTTCCTTGGAAGGAAGATTAGTGGAGACTGTGGTGCCATTAGGATACAGGGTTTTATTTGCACATATATACAACATGAGCATAAGATGGAGGGGCTCACAACATTAACACCAACAGATCTTGTTTCTTCATTAGTTATAGCTTTGGATCTGGCACAGAGCAAGCATGTCTCTGTGTCTCCAACTTCCAGCCTGTCTCCAGATGAGCTCTCTCACACACACTCTGGCTATTGTTCTTCTACCTAGCAGCTAGGTCAGGGGGGTGGAAGATAGGCCCACCTGGAGGGCACCATCACACAGCTGTAGCTTCTGAAACCTAGCTCATTTTTTGGGATGCTGATGAGGGCACTTAAGTGGCCAGCTACAGTTACAAAGAAACTTGTCTGACCAGTTTGGCAACTTCTTCCATTAGATTCTAACCCGCCCTGGGCTCAGGATCCCCCCCCCCCAAAAAAAGGAAAACAAGAATTGAAAGCAACTCATGGCATCATCCAGAATGACCGCCCCCTACCTAAAAAACCTATCATGAACCTAAGATCTCTCCTCACAAAGGTAAAAGTAAAGGACCCCTGGATGGTTAAGTGCGGTGGAGTTTGACTTTGGGGTGTGGTGCTCATTTCCACTTTCAGGCCAATGGAGCTGGCATTTGTCTGCAGACAGCTTTTCCAGATCATGTGGCCAGCATGACTAGACTGCTTATGGTGCAATGGAACACTGTGACAAGTGCCAGAGCACTTGGAAACGCCGTTTACCTTCCCACCACAGTGGTACTTATTTATCTACTTGCATTGGTGTGCTTTCGAACTCCTAGGCTGGCAGAAGCTGGGACAGAGCAACGGGAGCTCACCACCGTCGTGCGGATTCGAACCGCTGACCTTCCGATCAGAGACAGTATGCCTCGGTATAACAGAATCATGAGGTGGTGGGGAGATTGTGGTTGCACTCAGGTTCCATGAGACCTGTTAGTCACTGTGAAAACACAGTGCTGAACTAGTTGGACTCTTGGTCTGATCCAGAAGGGCTCTTCTTATGCTCTTAACAACAAAATATAGAATAATTTGCTTTCTTTTCACGACATCCCAAACTGGCTGTAATGTCACCCTACCTAACATTAGGGCCATCCATCTAACATCAGGTGTACTTAGGAGGGGGGACCTCTATCATTTCTCATAGGGAAGGGCAGTAGCTCAGTGGTAGGACATCATTGCATACAGAAGATCCCAGGTTCAATCCACAACATCCTCACACAGGACTCAGTATGTCTTCTGTCGGAAAATCCTGAAGAGTCACTGCCAGTCTGTGCAGACTGTACTGATCTAGATAGGCCAATGGCCTGTCTCATTATAAGGCAGCTTCCTCTCTCCCTGTGTTGACTTCAGCATTGCAGCAGACTACCGTGAGAGAGGGATGGTTGATGCAGATGTTCAGTTCGTCACACAGGAGTGAATGTGGGACAGCTGCTTAACATGATGCCCAAATATCTGAAGTACATTGCAAGCTCCCACTTCCTCTTAGGAAATTCTAAGAGGCGACAGTCAGCATTATAGCAAAAGAAAATCTAATCTGCCACATCTTCCTGTTGCTACTGCCACAGCCTCTTATTATTAGTATTATTGTTAAGCTGGGAAATGATGTCAGTAGCAGTTTCCCATGGCATGTTGTTTATTTTAAAACAGCTGGCTGTTAATCCAGTAGTGACAATTTGTCATTGATTAACTTCCAGATAATAATTCGGATTGGCTGAAATCCAGACTAAAATACTTCCTTTGGGTAAAAAGAAGAATTCCAAAACAAGAACATCATAGAATTGTAGAGTCTGGAGGGAACACCAAGGGCCATCTAGTCCAACCCCCTGCAATGCAGGAATGACAGCTAAAGTAGACCTGACATGCAACCTGTGTTTAAAAACCTCCATTGAAGAAGAATCCACCACAAAAGAACCCTGCAACAGAGTGATGTTTAGGTAGAAGTGAATAGGTCTATTTGCAAACCACGTCAGTTTCTCATGTGTTCATTGTTAGTTCATAAGTTCAGTTTGGCTCATTTCCACATTAATCAGCATTTTTTAAAAAAAAATCTACAAAAATAATTCGTAATTAAATATGCATTCTTGAAATGTATTTCTTCTTAAATTTATTTTGATCCGGATATTTTATTTTATTTTATTTTATTTTATTTTATTTTTGAGCCAAAAACTGTCTGAATACTTGGGAAGTGAAACAACAGCAGCAACAGATGGTTAAGGCTGCAATGCTGTACACATTTTCCCAGGAGCAAGTGCCATTAACCTCAGTGGTTCTTCCTTAGACATCCAGTTCTTCACTGCACATTAGTCCAAGAGAACAGATGCATCCGATATCTTCAAAGAACTAGCTCCTCATGAAGCACCCCCGGTTGTACATTTGCATCAGTAACATATTGCTGCTGGGTTTGACTGTGATGAGAGAGAGCTTTCACTGTGTTCTCAGGTCACAGTTTCTTAGCTGTGCACTGCTGAAGATGCAGCTGTATACAAACACAGAGAAATATTTGAAAGGATATCTTTGTAACATTGTGGGAGAATCAATATTCTTTCCATACAAAATGCTACAGCAAACGTGTTACGAGCTGACTACCTAGTTCCAACAAAAGGTGTCAGCAATTGATACAAGGAATTCAAAATATGTGTTTCTCTTCCCACTTTCCTCCCTGACCACGACAATAAAATGTTTTCGGGAGCAGGACATGGGTTTGAGTGGAATAGAGGCCAACATATTGAAAGCTAGCCACTATTGGAGTTTCTGCATGTGCGAATGCAAGTGTGTGGGGACAAATAATCACATTATCTGTGAAAATGTACCAGCTATTGCAGCAGGGGAAGGCCAAGTAATTCTCTGAATGGGTTGCTTGAGAAAGTTAAATAAATGACCATTCAGGGGAAGGGTCTCCTGTAGCTCAGTTTTCCAGCTGTTTTATAAACACTAAGACCCAGGCATGCATTACAGTGGTACCTCAGTTTAAGTACTTAATTCGTTCCGGAGGTCCGTTCTTAACCTGAAACTGTTCTTAACCTGAAGCACCACTTTAGCTAATGGGGCCTCTGCTGCTGCCGCGCCGCCAGAGCACGATTTCTGTTCTCATCCTGAAGCAAAATTCTTAACCTGAGGTAATATTTCTGGCTTAGCGGAGTCTGTAACCTGAAACGTATGTAACCTGAAGCGTATGTAACCCGAGGTACCACTGTATTATGCTGGCCTCCAACTGATGGATTGGGAACCACCACTGGGCCATGGTGGGTTTTAATAGCAGCATTACTCTCATTATATGGTTAAAAAGAAAACGAAAAGAAAAGAATGTGGTCATTGTGATGGAACTGGACTGTTTAAACAAAACTAAAAAGTCCAATATATAGTTTGTTTGGACTTTAAGGGATTAATTTGCTTCCTGTTATTGAACCCTGCCTGTCTCATAAACAAACTGGAAGGGGTTGTGTTACAAATTAGGGAAGTCTATTGCAAGCCAGTCATTTCTGCTGTAGGATCAGGACAAGTGTATTTTCTTTTGAGGTTTGAAATGTTTGTAGATTGAGTTTTGAGAGACCACTTAGCCTAAGGGTATACATAGTGAAAGGCAGATCAAGGTGGGTCTCAGAATACAAATGAACACACACAGTGCTAGAGGGCATAAGGTGAGCAGCATTAACACAAGATTCTGTGTAAGACTTCAGCAGTTGGGAACCCATTTAGCTAAGGTATAGCCAGGTGAGTTTATGCTCTATTATGTTCTGTACACTTTGCTTATTGGGGGGGAATGTTTTGTGTAAATGTAACCATTCACATGTTAAAATCTCCCCCTCCCCAAGAACAACCTGTTAGTAAACACTTAATCTTGATTCATCAAATCTTTGTGGTTTCTATGAATATATTCAACCTACATCCAAGAGTCAAAGCCAACAACACCAAGAGGTGTTGTCAAGGAGACACAAGAGAGTTTGGGGCTGTTTGGTGGAAGGTGGCCTGGAAAAAAATTACATCTCTCACCTAATGGCAGTGGA